ATATTGGCTTTCCTTGTAGCCCTCCTTTTTCTCTAATTTTGGTCTGCAAACTTAGGTTGTTAACCATCCAGAAGACAAGCTTATTGTTATTATCAAACGCAAATCCTCTCTTGACACCAGGAGTTCCTACTGGGCTGAAGGAAGAGTGTGGTAAGGAGCTTTCCTAGAAAGGAGAATGGGGAAGGGCAGCCCCACCTTGTTCTGAGCTGAGACCTCAATGGGGCTGTCTCTTAAGACCCCTGACCTCTGTCTGTCACTGTCTCATCAAAGTCTGCTCTGCCCTGCTCTTCCTTGTCTCCCTGTCTCTTTGCTTCACTGACATCTCACCCTCACCCTGGAAATCACCTCTTCTGCTCCCCAAGAAGGACCTGTGTATAATGTGGGTCCTGACTGAGCCCTGGGCCCCTCACGTGGGTTCAGGATGTCCAGGGAGAACTGGTGCCCATGACACCTGAGGTTGGCTCATGTGTTAGCTGTAGCGTGTTAACGTTCCTGAGGCCTGGAGCCAGTGGGCCCACAGGGAACAACCAGGGCCCGGGTCTCTCCATTGTGTGATCTCTCTGAATCCTGTCTCCAGAGGCCCTTGTTTTCTCCTTCCTTATGCACCATGACCAAGCTGGATTCATCCCACTTATGCAGGAATGGTTCAAAACCACAATCGATAAGTATAATTCACCATGTCAGCAGAACCAAAGACGAAAATCATGATTGTCTCAGCAGACAAAACAAAAGCATTTGACAAAGTTCAATAGGCATTCAGGAGAAAAGAAATCCTAAATAAAATTGAAATAGATGGTCTTGATCCCAGTGTGATCAACGCACCCTCTGAACTCCGCCTAAGCAGCAGGAGGCTGGCACTGTGAAGTGAGCCATGAAGGGACTACGACAGTACTCAGTTAGTGCCACACATCAGGGCTGTTTGAAAAAGTGATTTTTAAAGCAAGTTGTGGCAGCAAATGCCTGTAATTCCAGCACGTTAGGAGGCTGAGTCAAGCAAGGATCCTAAATTCAGAACAAGCCTGGGTGGTGCAGCATCTTAGGGAGACGCTGTGAAGAATCCATGTGTGGAGTCCATGCCATTCCGTTCCAGGAGAAACTTCACAGAGATCATCTGACCATGGCTAAGGGGTCTCAGGGCCCAGAAAGGCTGGCAGGATACCATTCTGTGTTAGTTTTTACCACACTGGAATCTAACTTTTAGATGTGTTTTCTGTTATTTGAGCCAACTTCGGGCTGTCAGTTGAAATGCTGGTGTCTCTCATACACACTGGGGAGTGGTGTGACTACAGTTAAGGCAAATGTCACCTGACAGTGAGCAGGGCATGAAGGGTGCAGAGCGAGACCCTGTCCCAGGCTAGGGGTCACAGCCTCACCTGTGGAGCTGGGAGGAGAGCAGGGGTCCAGGCAGAGCCTGCAGGGAGGTGGAGGGAAGCGCTGCAGGTCCTGAGAGACGATCTCTGTGACACCTTCCGAGTCCACGCGTTTGGACCACAATAGCCTCCTGGACAGTTGCTACATAGAAGTCCAGCTCTGTACCATGGCATCTTCCAGAACTTCCTGAGACCATCAAGCTGTTCCCCGGGCTCCACCACTCTGAGCAGCGACCGCCGTCTGCTGTCTACTTCCTGGCAGCGTCTCGAGTCCTCCTCTAGCTGTGCTGAGTCCCAAATAGCAGGATCGCAAGGTCCACGAGGACCAGGACAGCCAGGCCCATGTGGATGAGATTCCCCACTGTGTAGTCCTGGGCATGTGGGGCTGGGACGGGGACAGAGAGGTCACAGAGGTCAGGACAGATGGCAGGGAGTCCAGGTGTTTCTTCTGTCCACACAGCCACCAGCCTGCCCTGGACAGAAATGTGTCTACAGGGCCCAGACCCAAAATTGAGAAATCTCCTTCCCTGTCTTGGGCTCTGAGTGATTCCATGATGGGTCGAGAGCCTCAGCAGCTCCTGGGCACCGAGGCTGGGGAGCAAGCTGCAGTGTTGAAGAGACTCGAGTTGTGCCCGAGGTCCATGTCCTGTCTCCTCCTCTGAGGTAACTTTGTGTGTGGCCCCAAGTAAGCCCTCTCCCTGCTGTATCGAGTTCCCACAGGGCTCTTCACAGTATTGATCAGGCTCCCATACTCCATGGTACTGACCTTGACTCTGAGTCACTTTTCAGCCAAGGGTCCCTGAGCTCTGAGAGCTCAGGATGTGTGACAGGAAGGGCTCTGATGTTCAGATATAACCTAGTCCTTGGATGCTCTCTGCTCTGTCAGGGCCACCAAGGGATGAGCACTGACTCCCCTGGACTGGGGCTTCCCTGCTTCACCAGCACAGGACCCAGGGGCCAGGGCCCAGAGACCCTGTACATCAGGAGGCTGCTATCTGTCCACCAGGGCCCTCATCCTGCCTAAACCTCAGGCTCCTGTGCTCCTCTGACTCAGGGCTGATGTCACCTGGTACTCAGAGCAGCCTAGAAAGCCACAAGGCTCCCCGAAGTTCCCTTAATGCTCACCTGCTGACTGACCCTCTCCTGAAGATTGCAAACACACTGAGACTCACTGGACTCCCATGGGTCAGGAGAAAGCGTCTCCACTGCCCTTGTGGCAGTGCCTGTTGTGCAGGTGCTGGGACACCAGAGGAGCTGACTGTGAGGTGGGGACACCAGGTGCAATGGCTGAACCCTATCCTTCCCCTCAGTTCACCCCCACTCCTCTGCTCCATCCTGTGTCTCCCTGTGTCCCCTCATTCTCTTTCTTCTGTAGGAGATGTCAGGGTGGAAGCCGCACAGGGAACTCCCACCTGCATCAGCCTCTGCATGGGTAGCTGCTCCCCTGTGGACTTCCCCTCCACCTTGTCCAGGTCTTGGGGTGTCAGCCCTGTGCTGGGGACAGGACACGGAGTGACCATGTGGATTCAGAGGGAATAGAAATAAGGACCTTCAGTGGGACACAGAGTGATGTTGGGAACCTGGGCAGTGCCCAGTCAGGGGCCCTGGGTGACACAGAGGAAGGGGCAGGGTGGAGCTGAGCCTGGGGTTCCTGGCTTCCAGCACCTTCTCCTTACTAGAGCTGGGCTCCCCGAGCTGCAGAAAATGAATCTGAGAGATGATTCTGTGCCTGGCACCTTCCCCAACTGTTACTGTCACTAGACAGAGACAGGAACCCTGCAGTGCGGGGCCATGATGTTTCCCTGGGAGGATCCTTCAGTGCTCACAGCAAGGTCAGCACCAGAGGAACTTGAAGGTCAGGAGCAGGCCTCCCTTTACACATGCAGACCCTGACACCACCCAAGAGGGGCTGGTCTGCTTCCGCATCTCCAGAGGAGGATGCACCAGCCCCACTGCTCAGTCCCTGCCCAGTCCCAGCAGTGCCCTCATTCACCATCCTGGGGTCCAGACTCTGGCATGAGGGGCTGATCCTCAGGGCCTCCTAGGAGGGTAGGAGAGGGGAGGGCTGGGCTCCCCACTTCAATTGCTGCTCCTCTCCAGGCTGGACCCCAACATCTCTCAGAGCTCTGACCCCTCTCCATGCAGAACCCTGGGGATCCTGGTTCCTTTCCCCATTCTCTGTGCCTGGACACCAACGGAGCCAATCCTGGACCAGGACTGAGATGGGCTGAGCATCTCTAGGCAGCCTGGATGCAGGACAGGAGGACAGAGCCTGGACTCTCCTGCTGTGGAGCTGGGTTGCTAAGGGTGTGGTTGGGGTCTTCCTGGGATGATGACTGAGGGAGTGGGGGGCTGGACAGTCTCAGGGTGGACTCTGCCCTCCCCTCTCCCTGTGCTATGGCCTCTGCCCACAGTGCACATTCTAGAGAGAAAGGATGAATGGTGACCACAAGCCTAGGAAAAGTGTACTTCTGACTTGTTCTATGAGAGCCCCTTATGCCCAGCCATCCCAGGGCTACTCAGAGAGATGGCAGAAGGACCTTGAGCTCAGCCATCCTGGGGTCGCTGGCAGCGCATCTGACACTGAGCTCCAGGGGCTCACTGGGCTGTAACAGCAGGTATGGAGAGGAGTTCTGAGAGCCATAGCACCTGTAGGTGCCCCTGAGGGCTGAGCTTGAAGCTCCCGTGGAGAATTCTGCCTGGGAATGCTGAACTTGGGACTCTGATCGCAGACACAGTGGTGGTGGTGGGTTATCAGGTGCCCCCTCCTTGGACAGAAGGAAAGTGTCCATTGGGCTCTGTGACTGACACAGCAGGGTCACATCCTCTCCTGAGGACACTGTGGGTCCTGACTGCACTCAGCAGTAGGGTGTGGCCGGGAGCTGACATGGATAGAAAGTGAGGGGCAGCCCCACCTTGTTCTGAGCTGGGGCTTCAGCAGCGCTGTCTCTGAGGACTCTCGGTCCCTGTTGCTGTGACCTCTGATTTTGCTCCCACCTACTCCCCTCTGTCTCCCTGTCTCTCTTCCTCTCTGAAACACCAACCTTACCCTCATCATCACCACCTAGATTCCCCCAGCAGGACCTTGTTCCTTGACTGAGCCCTGTGATCAGGACATCCAGGGAGGTCACTGGGAGCCAGCCAATCAGAAGTGAGGCTGGGTCCACCATAGCATCGGTAGTGGCCCCATTTGGGGCCCAGAGTGAGGTCAACCTGTGAGAGCTCAGGTTGGGTGCTGGCCAGGGTGCTGCAGGAGGCCACCAGCACCCTTCTTTGGACAGAGTGAATCTGCCATGGCCGAGGTTAGAGTGACACATGAGGGTCATGTTGTGTACAGTGGGCAGGACAGGGCCTTGCTGTGTCAGGAGGAGGGCTTCCTGGGCAGCCCTGGAGGGAGGAGCAGCTGGCTGAGGGGCTGGTGCCTGCCACGCTCCTGTCCCCTTGTCCTTCCCTGTGGGTCTTCCTGACTGTCACATTGAGGTTTCTCACTCTGTAGAAGTCCCGATCCAACCTCCTCCTGGGGGTCAGTTATTATTATTATTATTTTCACAGAAAGGTCCTTTATTTATACTTTCACAAAGTTAGTAACACGTGACATAAGGCTACCTGGGGACCAATCGCTGATCTTAAGCAGAGAGGATGTTTGTCTCAGGGCTGAGGTAGCTTGTTTGCTTTAGGCGCTGAGGCCTCCCGCCTCCAGCCAGTGGCCAGCCAGTTATTAAGGGATTCAAGCATGACTGGGCCAGAGAAAGGATGTCCTTACCTGAGAACAGGAGCTCTAGGGCATCACTGGGCTCTGACCACACCTGGGATTGGCCCCAGTAATAGCCATAACATCTGAATGTCCACCTCTGCATGGGGGTCACAGGGCTCACAGGGCACAGGGCATAGAAGTGCCCCCTGGGGCCTTGCTGTGATTTCAGTGTTGAGGAGAGCTCTTCCCTCCATCCTCAGTCAGAATGAACCTGTCAAAGTCTAGCTGTGACCCACACTGGAGGGTGACATTCTTTCCTGATGCTGCCACAAGACCAGGCAGGGCAGAGAGGCTGGGTTTGCTGTAGACTCCTAGGACACAAGGAGGCGGTGTGAGGAAAGGACTCACACCTCCCACACTGCCGCCAGGGCTGGGCTGTGAGCAGGGCACACCCCTGAGATCAGAACCCTTCCTGAGGGCATTGGGTGGGACGTAGACTCCAAGTGTCCTCTCACCAGTCACCACCAGCTCCAGGGGGTCACTCTGCTCCAACAAGCCGGAAGCTGTTCTGTAGTAACAGTGGTATCACCCTGCATGGTGCTCTGTCATGGATGGGATGGAGAGCTTGGCCCTGTTCCCGAGTTCCACTGCTGTCTGTCTTCTCTGGGGCACTTGGCTTCCCTCTTTGTACAGACCAGATTCCTCTGCCTCCAGAGTCCACTTGCCCCAGAGGGTCACGGGTGTACCTTGAGGTATCACAGTTCCTGGCACAGCCCAGAGCCTGGGTTTGGGAAGGGTCCCTGCAGGGAAATCACAGCCAAGTCCCAGGACATCCTCCTCCCCTCAGATCCCAGCTCTTAGCCCAGGAGCCTCCAGATCTCCCAGGACCAGCCCACCCCTGCTGCGCTCCATCCCCACTGCCCAGGGGTGGCCCCTTGTCCCCAGGAGGATGAGGGATTTGGTTCAGCTGAGGTCACACTCACCTGTCTGCACTCCCGCCCTGGCATTCAGACTCAGCCCTGGAAGAGTTCCTTGTGAGAGTTTGGCCCTGCAGCCTGAACAGTTCCTTCCCCCCAGAGCCTCCCAATCCCCTGATCTTCAGATGGAGTAGGACCTGGATGTGGGGGTTCTAGACTAGGGGGTTCTCTACTCATGTTCAGTTCCCACCAACACAGAGCAGGGTCATGAGTGTTGCAGTCATGGTGTCTCCTGCCTCCAGGTGAGCCTGTGCAGAGATGACACCACTGTCCCCAACACAGAGTTTTGCTGCTGGGGGTTGGTTTCTGCCCATCATAGTGTGGTCACACCAGGTGGCCCACAGGAAGCAAAGCTAACATCTGCAGTCAGCCGGCTGTTTCATCCCAGGGCTGAACCTGGCTGGGCTCCAGGCTGATGTGGAGTTCCCCTTCCTTCCGAGTGCTCCTGAGTGCTCTTCACCTCAGTGATTCCAGGACACAGCAGCCAACAGACCCAGAGCCCTCCCGAGTTGGCCCTTCTGGGGTGTGGTTGCCCCACGCTTGTCATTCCTCTTATAGCCTCCCACAGGTCTGCTCCCCAGCTCAGCCCATCCAAATGCATAGCATGGTGGTACTCCCCATGTCAGTCTTTCCTCAGCCCTGGAGATGCCTCAGGGAAGATGCAGGTTCCCTCTGCAGGTGGATGAGAGCGGAGATGCACTGCGACCTGAGGGGAGAAACCTCCATGAACATCAGTGGCTGGTGGGAGAGACGCCCACAGCACTGGGGAGCATGCAGGGCCTCAGGGAAGCTGAGGAGGTTAGGAAGGATTGGGCAGGGATGCTCCTGGGAGAGCGGAGTCTGTCGCGTTAATGTGATAGAAAATCAACTCCTGCAGTCGTGAACACTCTTTACTTGCATTTTTCTAGTTTCTCAGAGTCCCTTGATATGTTGTTCAATTGAAATCTTTCCTGTTCTTGAATGAATTTATGAAATATATTTTCTGACTATAAACTTTCTTTTGTCTCCATTACTTTGTTGCATTAATAAAAATTTAACTTAGTTGCTATGTATTGGACTCAGGTCCCCAGCCAACCCTGGAAAATGCTGGAACCCTGAGCTCCATCCCACCGCTTTCAAATTGTACACTGATGCAGCATTTTTCTAGGGTGCCCAGCACGACCCGGCCTCCTGTCCAAGTCTTGTGTAGGTTTCTACTTTGTGGTTGCTGTGAGGATTGCAGAAGACAGCCTACGGTGTACATACGTAGCTCATTGCCCTCTCATAAATTCACGTACAACTTTTATAGCTTGCTGCATATAAATATATATATAGTTTGTTATTGCTTAATTTACATGTTTTAAGTCAATTATTTACTAGAGCATTTTATAGCTATAGTGTCTTTAAAATTACCTTTGTGATTTGTATGTTTGAGACAGGATCGCACAGTGCAGTTTAGGCTGGACTTCAGCTTCCTTATGTATCTGGGGCTGACTGGAATGGAATGTGATCCTGCATCCTCAGCCCTCCAAGCACAGGGATGGTAGCCCTGGGCCCCCGTGACCAGCAGCTCTAGTTCATAAGGTTCTGTCCTTAAATCCTTTTGCAGTGCTGTGAACAAGACTCGGGGATCTGCACATGCTAGGCATGTGTTCTGTCAGTGAGCCTGCCCGAGCTGTGTTCTATTGAACTTACACACGGGACTTAGTGTGAATCCACACCGCAGCTGTGGTGAGCAGCGTTCTGTGTTTCCTTTCACACTCCCTTCACCCACGAGTTCTGGTGTGTGGAAGGCTTTCATGATGCTGGGTTTTGTCAGCCTCGTTTTTGCAGGGTCTTAGAGACCACACCCAGGAACTCATAGATGCCCATCAGGTGCCTGACACTGAGCAGCCTCAGCCTTGTGCAGTGTGCAGTACCTTCAGCCTAAACAGGAAGAACTCCCTTCAGTACGCTTTGCAAGGTAAATGTGTTAGCTTTTGTCTTCCTGACAAAGTATCCGCAAAACGTTAAATGAGGAAAGCTTGGTTTGAACTGATAGCTCATGGGATTACAGGGTACACTCACCCAGTGCCACTGCCTAGGGCCATGCAGAGACAGAAAAAGCATAGCAAGGTAGGGAAAGTTGCTCTCAGCAGCCTGATGGGGAAGATGAGAGAGAGAGAGAGAGAGAGAGAGAGAGAGAGAGAGAGAGAGAGAGAGAGAGAGA